AATCCCAAATAATTTAGTATAACAGACAACTTCCCCATCTTTTTGCTGACCATTCTGTGAAGTAGAAACAAAATGTAAAATTTCTCAAGTATTTAATTTACTGCAGATTATTCACTCAGCTCTACCCAGCACCCTGAATATTGAGGAGATTCAGATCTGGTACCAAATTTCTTTGTTGCCCTGTATCTCTGTACCAGGTCAATCCAAAACTATGAATCTGAACAATCCCAAGCTCTAGGGAAATTCAAATATGGTTCTGGATTCAAACTTAGCAGCTCATACCCATCTCTGTGTAGAACAGGATCCTATGCACTCAGCACTTGCTATTCTTTAAAATAAACAAATCGGTGACACGGTGCATGGGACAGCAATGATTAATTTAAAATTATAATGTCATTTATAGAGATAGGCGAGAGCTTGTATCAGTTCCATGTACTATAGTGGAAATGGGCAGTGGAAGGAATGTCTAAAGGCCTTTCAGGCATGTGGTTGAAAATAAGCCTATTAAACCATAATACTAAGTGGTTTCCCATGAAACCTCTTGACATCAGTGGTAGAGGATCAGTAAAGCAGGGTCTTATGCTCTCACAGCCAATGGCATACTTAAGAAAATGATGTCATTATACTCACTGTGCTGGAGAACTGCATAGAACTGCTGTTTTATTGGTGGTGGTTGCCTGCATTCCTAGGGCATCCGGATGTGTGTTTGCCCTCCCTGCAGCTGGTCCCAACCAAAGGCTGTCCTAAATTGGAACCTGAATCATGTAGTTCTGGGCTTACCTGTTATACCCTAATCCATTTCCTTCTGCTGGCCTTGGGTATAGTGCTCATCTTCCTCTTATGCCAACAGCAATTACCTGTGTGGATTAGTCAGTGGGGAGCTCTTGTACCTCCTGGGTACATCTATGCTGCAATTAAAAACCCATGAGTGGCCCATGCCTGCTGACTCAGGTTTGCAGGGCTTGGGGTAGGGGGCTGTTAATTGTGGTGTAGACGTTTGGGCTCGGTGTAAAGCCCTGGCTCTAGGACCCTGTGAGATGGGAGGGTCCCAAAGTTTGGGCTGCAGCCCGAGCCCGAACATCTACATCACAATTAAACTGCCCCTTATCTTAGCCCCATGACCCCGAGTCAGTATAACTGCAGTGTAGACATACCCTGTACAGCCATCATTCCTGTTCCTTCAATCTCCATCAACCTCTGAACCATTATCTTGAGACACAAGTTGGTGTGTTTTTTCTCCAAGAGCAAGACAACCACAGTCTCCTCTGAGTGCTTCTCTCAAGCAAACAGTAAGACTGAAAATTGGGAGTTTGCCAGAAAACATTAGAAGGAGTAGCAGTGGCAGGATAATGTTGGTATGAGTGGGAAGAGAACTTTGCTTTCCTTTTACTGTTCTTAAAGATTCTCCAAACATCTTGTGTCCATGTGCCATAGCCAGATTAGCATGTCATAGAAGATTAGGGTTGGAAGAGACCTCAGGAGGTCATCTAGTCCAACCCCCTGCTCAAAGCAGGACTAATCCCAATTAAATCATCCCAGCCAGGGCTTTGTCAAGCCAAGCCCTAAAAACCTCTAAGGATGGAGATTCCACCACCTCCCTAGGTAACCCTCCAGCGCTTCACCTCTCTCCTAGTGAAATATTTTTCCTAATATCCAACCTAGACCTCCCCCACTGCAACTTGAGACCATTGTACCTTGTTCTGTCATCTGCCACCACTGAGAACAGCCGAGCTCCATCCTCTTTGGAACCCCCCTTCAGGTAACGGAAGGCTGCTATTAAATCCCCTCTCACTCTTCTCTTCTGCAGACTAAATAAGCCCAGTTTCCTCAGCCTTTCCTCATAAGTCATGTGTCACAGCCCCCTAATATTTTTTGCTGCCCTCTGCTGGACTCTCTCTAATTTGTCCACATCCTTTCTGTAGTGGGGGGCCCAAAACTGGACGCAGTACTTTAGATGTGCCTTCACCAGTGCCGAATACAGGGGAATAATCACTTCCCTTGATCTACTGGCAGTGCTCTTACTAATGCAGCGCAATATGCTGTTAGCCCACTTGGCAACAAGGACACACTGTTGACTCGTATCCAGCTTCTGGTCCACTCTAATCCCCAGGTCCTATTCTGCAGAACTGCTGCTTAGCCAGTCGGTCCCCAGCCTGTAGCAGTGCATGGGATTCTTCCTTCCTAAGTGCAGGACTCTGCAGTTGTCCCTGTTGAACATCATCAGATTTCTTTTAGCCCAATCCTCCAATTTGTCTAGGTCACTCTGGACCCTATTCCTACCCTCCAGCATATCTACCTCTTCCCCCAGTTTAGTGTCATCCACGAACTTGCTGAGGGTGCAATCCATACCATCATCCAGATAATTAATGAAGATGTTGAACAAAACCGGCACAAGGACCAACCCCTGTGGCACTCCGCTAGATACGGAGCTGTGTACAAAAGTACTCCTTTATATCTTCCATGCACGCCGTGTTTGTTTGCCTCAGATATGTGGGCATGTGGATATGGATATCAGCTCTTGATGCAATCCAAGTATGAGGCATTCAGTACACTGCAGAATCTCCAGTTACTCTTCAGTATATGCAGTGTTAGTACACAGAGCCAAGTACTAAGAAGGGGTCACAATATTAAATTAATAGCATGAATTATTTAGAAACAGTTAAAGGAACTATATTTTCAACAACACTGGGTTTAAGCATAAGTAAGTCAAAAAGCTGCTTTTCCTTTGCAACCTCAGCAACTCATGGGCCGGCCATGTCTTCCCCTCGAACAGTGGAATCATGGGATCCCCCACTTCTGATCTCTCACTTCAAGTGAGTTGGAACACAAAACATGAGGCCACTCTTACTGACCACTCAGCATGTAGTGGATTTTGCTTATGCAGGAGCTGTTGGTATCAAATATGGTGGCTGGATTTTTAAAAGGGCTGGTTAGTTTTATGACAGGAAGGTATTTTTCACCTGTGGATAATACTGTTCAGCTGACAATGTGTTGTCACAATTGGGTTGTATTTTCTCTTCCTCTCACCATCCGGTATTGGCTGCTGTCTGAGAAGAGATACTGTTATTGTTATTACTTGTATTATTGTAATGCCTGAAGGCCCCAACCAAGATCAGGGCTGCAGTGTGTTAGGCAGTGTACAAACACTTAGTGAGAGACAGTCCCTGCCCTGGAGAACTTACAGTCTAAATAAACAAGAGAGCAGGCTGGGAAATAGAGGCTCAGAGAGGGTGAAATGACTTGCCCCAGAGCAAGCTGCAGGTCAGTGTCAGATCCAGGAACAGAACCTGCCAGCCAGTCCAGTGCCCTATGCACTCTGCCTTCCCTGACTTGGCTCCTCAGTCACTATTAGTGCAGATGCTTTGGTATCACCTAATCATGCAGGGCTATGTTCTGTAGGTACACTAGTGTGTGGAGTGTGATCCTAAAGGATCATATTTTCCATAATTGCCAGTCAAGGAAAGTTTCTCACTGCTCTTTATGATCCCACTTTGTGGACTGAAGAATAAGGACCCGTTATGTTGGCTGGTGGCCATATTTATTTTGTACACTTTACTACTACACTTTGTCACCCAGAGGAGAGACATGCTTCACTTTCAAAGCCTTGATCTGAAAGGCATGGTTTAGCTGACTGTTCTTTCCGAATCATTGCTCAAAAGGGTCTAACCACAGAATTCTGTGATATAAATGGGCATTCAGATCTACCAGAGGAAACATTTTAGGTTAGTCTTTTTCTAGTCCTGACTTCTTTTTTTGGAGTACGCTGTACTCTGGCGATCATCTCTTACAAAATACCTCTGAAATAAAATATTTTCCCTTGGTTCCAAAAAGCTCATTTTGCAACTTAGCTTTACATTACATGTATCACTCTGTAACAGACACCAGGTCCTCGGAGATTGTTGTAATCAGATAGATGTATGGGGTGAGATTTTCAAAAGTACTCAGCATTAGCCAAATTCTGTTCCCATTAAAGTCAATGGGAGTTTTACCACAGACTTCAATTGGAGCAGAGTAATGCTGAGAGCTTTTAAAAATCTCATCCATGTCATAGAAGAGGTAGATGTCACTAGTGTTTGGTTTATGAAAACAAGACATGCACAAAGAGTGGTGTCCGAGACAGAGAGCAAGCAATAAAATTCAGTTCCTCACTTTTCCAAAAAATGAAGGGGGTTTGGAGCTGGAATTATTATAGTTCAGTCTGTTAAAGTTTGGATCTGAATCCAAATTCTTCCAAAATTTCAAGAGGCTTCTGATTGAAGGGTTTAGTTCATGGCCTTCAGAACAGGTTAACTTCTTGTACCAGCCTGTTTTCAAATACTGTGTCTATTTTTTTTCTGAGAAAACACACACGTGCGCGCATGCACACGCTTTTGGAGGTGGGGGTATAATGTTTCTGTTTATACTTTGGTTTAGTGACTGCAAAATGTATTCTTGTAATAGTTGTATTCTTTTAACAGGTGTCCCTTTAAGTGTATTGTATATTTCCCAAGATATTGTGTTTTTTAAAAAAGTATCCTATCATATTAAATAAAGTCTGGGTTCTTTTTTTGTTGTTATTCATGCATAAATTGTTTTGAAATTATCCCTCTAATTAGAAAAGGAGTACTTGTGGCACCTTAGAGACTAACCAGTTTATTTGAGCATAAGCTTTCGTGAGCTACAGCTCACGAAAGCTTATGCTCAAATAAACTGGTTAGTCTCAAAGGTGCCACAAGTACTCCTTTTCTTTTTGCGAACACAGACTAACACGGCTGTTACTCTGATCCCTCTAATTGTCAGTTTCAGGAAAACCTTTGATTGTCAGACGAGCAACTTTTTTATTTTTGTTTTCTTTCTGGTGCTTTTACCTTTTTATGCTATGTTCTGTAGAAGTGGGAATTATATATTCTGATTGTTATGTATGCAAAACTCAATTTGTGTATTTTATTGTTTCTTCTTCCCCCACCCCCTTTTCTTTGCATTTTCCCAACATCTGCATTGTGGATTGATGGCAAGAGCAGCAGTGGCTGGCACTTTTCCTCTACGGTGCGAGAGAGAGAGAATTGGCTGGAATTGCTTTCCATATAGCCGGCTTGACATGCAGCATTGAAAAGGTATCATCTCATTTTCTGTCCTGAAACCAGAGGTGAAAACCACAAGGAAATAGTCATCTTGGTGCCAAGCCACCTGTTGATTCACACCAGAAAAGCCATTGGCAATACATTCCTAACCATATCCAGTTGGAACGGTTGAATGCCTGACATCTGTGTACCTACAGTATCTGTCTGTAACTATGCATCAGCTACACAGGCTAATTCAGTAGCCTTTTGCCTGAAAAAACCTGGGTTCAAATTTAGGTTAAGGCAGAAGGGAATAGAGTTTTCTGGTCTCAGTCTAGGCCTTTGACTAGTCTATTGTATGTCTGCTTCACATCATTAATGTACGCAATTTGGCATGATTGTCAGTCATGTCTCAGTAAAAGCCCATTTCTGAAATAGCTTGGGGAGTTGTAAGACAAACCTGTTTTGTTGGGAGATCTGTGTGGCAAGAACAGGACTGAAGTAGCCAGGGGTGCTGCAGAACAGGATTGATTGAGATGCATTCGCAGAACTGTGTGAATAGCCCAGGACTGAATAGCAGGGGAGGCTGCAGGTCAGGACTAAGGTGCGTTGGCAGAGCTGAGTGATGGAATCTTGCATAGTGTCTGCCTGCACAATGCCCAGTTCCAACTCGTGCAATCAGTGCTTCAATTTCTGGTGCACTAGAATTCACCATATCAATTCAAAATTAAATTAAAACAAAATCCTGTCCTCGGACCATCATGCACACCCCCAGTTACCCAGTGAGGTATGTATGTAATGCAGACGACTGCAGTGCATTTAAATTACATTAAAGCGCTGAGCTAAAACTACAAAAACTGATCAAATTCTGAGTTAAGAGATTGCTAACTCAGCCTCTTTTGTGCTTACACCTTTTAGTATATATGTTCCTGTATGTGGGTCCCCCAAAGAGCAATAGCGCTAGAAATTATAGGTAACTTGATATATAGAACCAAATTCTGTGCTTGCTTACATGCTGTACAGCTCTGCTGAGGTTTATGGAAGGACATGAGCAAGGGCATAATTTGGTCCATGGTATTTATATTTATCCATATTGCTTTGTGCTTGACAGATGAATAATTCCTGTGGGTCTGAAGCAGGGCCGGCTCCAGGCACCAGCGTTCCAAGCAGGTGCTTGGGTGGCGGCAATTCGGTGGCAGCTTCTCTCCCCTGCCGTCCGCAGTGGCAATTCAGCGGCGACAGGTTTTTTCACTGCTTGGGGAAGCAAAAACGGTAGAGCCGGCCCTGGTCTGAAGCATTGTCCAGTGTTGTGCAGCCATCCCATATGTATCCTTGGTGGGATATCTAATCTGTTGCAAAACAACGGGGCAATGAGCAGTAAAGCTGCACAGTGACTGGGCTATCCTGGGCTCTCCAGACCAAAAAATCAAGTTATGGTTACTGTCCTCTGAAGCCTCCCTAAGGCTGAGGCAAGACACTCAAATGCCTTGAAAGGTGCACCATTCATTTATGAAATTTGCCATTATAAATATTTTATGACAGAAGGACTTTGTAGCCTGCACTCTAACATGGGCTATCCCACATACTTCAGATCCAGACTTCACAGATGGGTGGGTAGGATTAGTTGTGGTAGGAGTGATAAGGTCCACTGAAGTTCGGGGATGTCCAGAACTAGGGTTTTTGATGGGCACATTTCTAAAAACTAACCTCTAAATTCTCTAAGCTCCTGGTTGAGTTTTAGCTGTACAACTCTTATTAATGTCAGGGAGTCTCTGAGCTAATCAATCCTCAAACAATTCTTTGACCATTTTTCTCCAAAGCACCTTCGTTTCAAAAACCTGTGCCCTGCTGTTCAGACTAACATTTGGCCTATGGGTTAACTTTTGTGGGTGTGTCAAGTGGCAGCTGCTTGCTGTGTTGACAGAAGTAAAAAATAGTAAGAACATGTTTTGTCACTAAAATAAGCCAGTGTGGTATGGGATACATATGTGGGGCAAACTCAGTCATGTTTTAACTCCCTTGAAGTCTGTGGATAGGCAAAATTCAGTGGTTTTGACTTCAGTGGAATTACACCATTGATTAATTTTTCTAATTGTTGGGTTTTGGGGGGGGGGGGTGTTCCATGTTGCGTGATGAATACATCATGTGGTTTATTTTTGTTCGTCACTTTGTTCATACCAACCACTTCCACAAAATTAACGCCTAGTGTATTAATGAATTGCATTTCTGAAATTCTTCCATTCAGTTTATAATGTAATCCACTTGAAAGACTGTGCTGCTTGCAAAATTTGAAATTTCAAAATTGCTGTGTACCTTCCTGGCAACCAATATAATTTATGTCATGTTGATGAGCCTGAGATATTTCTCAATGTTAGCCTCACGGGAACAAGACAAGGAAGAGGAACTTTTGACTGATCTTGTGGATGTGGCTGTATCTAAAACCTCTTATTTGCTGGAGTTCTTAGAAGTTTTTGATTTGTTTTTCCTCTGTCTCTGACCTAATTAATTTTATGGGACGTCCCCATGGACATAATTTATACGACAAATGAATTATATTAGCAATTGTTGTCGTGGTATGAAGCCCCTCATTTATGGTAAATTTAATGTGTTCTTCTGTTCTTTTCCTTTATAAACTGTGATCTATCAGCAATCATCTGTTTTCTTTATTTTTCAGATGATTTTGATTGCATAATGTCTTTATTGCCAATATAAAAATATGTAAATTTATAAATGCAAAGAGCAAAATATTACTGTAATTCAGAATTGGCTGGCACAAAAAGCCTCTGAAATTGCACCAGCTCTACATTTTTGGTGGTTTTCTTTTGGCTGATCCAGTTGAAATACATTTTTGTAGAAAAAGAATCAAATCGTATCTCCGTTCTCCACCTACTTGACAGTTTTCAGCTTGGTGCAATATGAAAGGATGATTATTAACCCCCCAGAAGAGAGTTTATTAAGGGAAATGCTGACATAACCTTAACTAAGCCAGTGCCAACATGAGCTGCAATCATTTCATTTGCCGCATTCAAAACTGTCCCACTTACAGGGCTCGTATTAGTGGTATTGTTTAACTCTTTCAAGCCAGTGAATGTTCACAGCCTTTTTCCAGCAGCAGTTGTGTGGTAATGTGTTTTGAGCCAAATTCTCCTCTTATACCTGTGCAATTTCACTGACTTTAATGAGGTTACATGGATGAAACTGTGAATCACATTTTAACATTTCTCCCTAAGCCCCACTCCAACTTCTGAAGGATTAAAGGGACACCGGGTCTGCTTCTGTTCCTATTGAAGTCAATTGGAGTTTTGCCTTTGATATCAATGGGATCAGAATTGGAGCAAATGTTGTGCAGTTTAGGGCCAAAATACATGTTTTGTGTGGGAGTTTTTTCAAGGGGTAAAGGGGTTTACAAAACACATAGAAATATAAATGTTTTCATGATTTTCTAAAAATACAATGAAAACAGTTTGTCTTTGGATTTAAACATTCCCCTGTAGTGCTGCCACTTGGTGCTTGTGCGTGAGGGCTGGAAAGAGAAACTGGCTAGTCTAGTTCCTCTTTCCAAGGTGAGTGAAGGGCAGAAAATAAACAGCTTAAATGAGGGGGAAAGTAAATTAGGTCTGTAGCACTCCTTGACTTTGAAGTATCTACAGTCATATACGTAACACAGGTAAGGAAATTTAATTCCTAAATGAAAGGAAAGCTAATGGTAAAAGTGTTGAACAGAACTTAAAATGCAAAGGTACGTTGGAAGATAACAGCAAAGCCAATCCTGGTTCTGATTCAGGAAATCACCTGCGAACATGCTTAATGTTAAACACATGCATAAGTAATGTGCCTTATTGGGGCCTCTATGATGTTCCATATCATGGAGCTGTGCAGAGCTCAGCAAGCAGGCCTGATTCAGTGACCACGGGCTGTAATATTCATCCTCAGAAGGAATCCTGGAAAATGCCTTGGCAGTCATATACTAGTTAGATGACTTGCAAAACATGCCATTGGGACTTTGTGCATGGAACATAACTGAAAGGACAGGATGATGTCTAGTAGTTTTCAGTTCTATGTGTGCATGTGTGGTTAATTTTTTATCAATTTTCCTAAAGAAATAGACAATGAAAAGTTCAGACAGTTTTGTTTCTTTTTTTCGCATTCTCTATTGTTTATAGAGACCCCTAAGAAACCTCAAAATAAAATGACATTCACTAGCAGGTTTGTAGCCTGTAAGAGGGTGCTCGAAAGGCTGGGCTGCCTAGTAATTGGTGCACCTGACATCTGGCAGCTTGCTTCCCTGGCAGAAGTGCCTCACTTCTTAAAGAGGAATAGTAGGGGGATCCAGGCCCTCTTTCTTCTCCACGTCCCGGCCCAGAGCCCTGTGTGAAGCAACACTGGCAGGATCCTCCCAGCAGAGAATCTAAGTCCGCTGCCCTGGGCTACTTCCTGCCTCTGTTTCTTCAGTTTGGGGCATGGCCTCTGTAGTCCAAAAGGTCTGCAGTGGCCCTACTCGAGTGACACCGCCTGGTGGACTCTTTGTGGCATCCGGCCCCAGTCTGACATCCCTCTTGGTGGGAGCAGATGTAATATTGCAGGATCTTAACTCCATAATGTCTCTGTGGTTTAGTCACACAGTTCACTCACTCCTGGGTGTTCCTTGGTCTCCTCAGCAGTCTCCCTCAATCAGGGACTTGGTGCTTCTCCCTGGTGGCTGGCCCGGCTGTCAGCCTCCTAGTGATGCTCCCCTCATGTAGAGGGGCAGAGGTGTCTCCTGCCTCTTCACCAGTCAGCCCTGAAATGAGCCAGGTTCTCCCGTTTTCTTCCCCCTCCAGGCCTGGCACTGGCTGCAGGAATAGCGGGGCAGGGCTAGCTGGGCCCATGGACTCTCTTTAACCTTTTTTGTGCTGTTGTGAGGTTTCTCAGCCTCACTGCATGGCCCTTTTAAATGTGGTGAAGACTGATTGCTCCCTGATCTCACTTTTTCTAATGGTGCTTAACAGTCACATGATGACTAGATGACCTCCTGAGGTCTCTTCCAACCCTAATCTTCTATGATTCTATGACAT